CAGAAATGCAAGCTGCATGGGGAAAATTTTGAACTTCTTTTTGTAATCCTGTTTCCAGGTAAGTATAAAAGAAAAAAGGAATCACAATAAAGAGAAGCAAAGTCACTGCATCCCAGTTCGTTTTGCCCAATCTTCTCCCTTTCTTAAGCTCTCTTTCCACACCTGCAGCCCCTGTAAGTATTTGGTGAGTCACTTTGGCTGTTAGTGAAGAAAGTACATGGGCAAAACCCCTGCTAGGAAAGGGAACATCGCTCTCAACACCTTTTTGAACTGGGAAAAGCACAGGAAATTGTTTCTATTTATACAGGACACATGACTATTGGACTACATAGGAGTATAAAGTGACCACCAGAGCCAGAAAAGAGAGGAAAGTAGATGCTGGGAAAAATAGAACTTGAAATTCATACAGTGACAAGAGGTGAAATAGGAGAAACATAGGTGCTTTTCCTGGTCTCCCATGGGGTGCAGGGCCCAAGCACCTGGGCCATCCTCCACTGCACTCCCTGGCCACAGCAGAGAGCTGGCCTGGAAGAGGGGCAACCGGGACAGAATCCGGCGCCCCGACCGGGACTAGAACTGGGTGTGCCGGTGCCGCTAGGCGGAGGATTAGCCTAGTGAGCCGCGGCGCCGGCCTCAGGCAGATTTTTTGATATGAGGGATCTGCAAAGAGTTTGTGGAAAGTGTTTACTGGGAAAAAATACTATGTGAGGATTTAGCATGTTTTGCACCAAAATGAACTTATCTTTTGAATTTATTTTTCCATAAACATTTTGAAGTATTGGACTAGAGTCCACCCTAACAATTTCAATTTAACTTTTCTAAAGTCTGAATCTCCAAATATAATCAAATTCTGAATAGGGGACAGAGTTTTAACATACGAATTTGGGGCAGACATCATTCAGCCCATTATAAAGGCCATTAAATTATCAGCATTTTAGGTTTTGAAAGACAAAAGATTCCCTTGTGTCTGCACTTGAATGTGAAGTAGTTCAAATCAGACAGTTATCTCATCAGTGAGTAAAAATCAGTCATTTAACAGAGAGATGGCTTACTGTGGCCCCAATACAACACTTGGTAGACTGTGTCAGGTAAAAGTGTCAGGCCTTAGTGCTGAAAAATTGGACCTATGCATGTAGAAGTATGAAACAAGACCCCTACCCTACACCTAATAAAAAAATCAACTCAAAATGGATCAAGTACATAAATCTATGACCTGATACCATCAAATTACTAGAGGAGAACACTGAGGAAAATCTGCAAAACATCAGTATAGGCAAAGATTTCTTGGAAAAGACCCCAGAATCACAGGCAATCAAAGTCAAAATAGACAAATGAGATACTATCAAGCTGAGAAGCGTCTGCACCACAAAGGAAACACTTGATAAAATGAAGAGGGAACCAACAGAAATGGAGAAAATATTTACAAACTATGCAACTGATTAAAGGATTAATATCCTGAATCTATAAAGAGCTCAAGAAACTCAGCAACAACAAAACAAACCAGTTAAGAAATGGACAAAGGGCCAGCGTCGAGGCTCGCTAGGCTAATCCTCTGCCTGCGGCACTGGTACTCCGGGTTCTAGTCCCGGTTGGGGCACCAGTCCTGTCCCAGTTGCTCCTCTTCCAGTCCAGCTCTCTGCTGTGGCCCAGGAGAGCAGTGGAGAATGGCCAAGTGCTTGGGCCCTGCACCTGCATGAGAGACCAGGGAGAAGCACCTGGTTCCTGGGGCGCCGGCTGTAGTGGCCATTTTGGGGGTGAACCAACAGAAGGAAGACTCTCTCTCTCTCTCTCTCTCTCTCACTGTCTAACTCTACCTGTCAAAAAAAAAAAAAAAAAAAAAAAAAGAAAAGAAAAGAAATGGAAAAAAGACATAAACAGGCATTTTTCTTCTTTTTGCATTTTTTTTCTTTATTTGGCAGGTAGAGTTATAGACAGTGAGAGAGAGACAGAGAGAAAGGTCTTCCTTCTGTTGGTTCACCCCCCAAATGGCCACCATGGCCGGAACTACACCAATCCGAAGCCAGGAGCCAGGTGCTTCTTCCTGGTCTCCCATGCGGGTGCAGGAGCCCAAGCACTTAGGCCATCCTCCACTGCCCTCCCGGGCCACAACAGAGAGCTGGACTGAAAGAGGAGCAACCGGGACTAGAACCCAGTGCCCATATGGGATGCCGGCGCCACAGGCGGAGGATTAACCAAGTGAGCCATGGCGTTGGCCCCATGAACAGGCATTTTTCAATGGATGAAATATAAATGGCCAACAGACACAAGAAAAAAAAATGCTCAGGATCACTAGCCATCAGAGAAATGCAAATAAAAACCACAATTAGGTTTCACTTTACCACAGTTAGAATGGCTATCATCCAAAAATCAAAAAATAACAAATTCTGGTGAAGATGAGGGGAAAGGTACCCTAATGCATTGTTGGTGGGAATATAAATTAGTGCAACCATTACAGAAGACAACTAAGATATGGAATCAATCCAGTTGTTCATCAACTGATGACTGCATAAAGAAAATGTAGAATACCACTCAACCATAAAAAGAATGAAATTCTGTCTTTTGGAACAACTGGAAACCATTAGGCTTAATGAAATAAGCCAAACTCAAAAAGAAAAATATCATATGATTTCTCTGATACGTGGTAATTAATATAGAAAACAAAAAATGTACAGGAATGAAGTGGACATTTTGTGATTTGATTCTTGTTTTTAGCCTTTGCTTGTCCTCCTGTGGAACTGTGGTCTTTCTGCTTTTTATACATTATGGCTAGTGCTGCATTAAGCCTGTGATTATAGACTGGATTGAAATTAAGTTTTTGCAAAAATCAAAGAAAAAAAGGAAAGAAAGAAAGGAATTTGGGGAAGGAAAGCAGAGAGGGAAATACAGTTAACTATGTAGAACTGTACCTATGAAATACATGAAACCTGTTTTCTTTATATTAATAAAAATTTAAAAAGTGTCAGACTTTGTCTTCAGGCTGTAAAGTTTGGAACTAATACAGACATATAACAGAAGTAAATTCTATTTTAAGCCTACATTTTATAGGTAATTGCTCAGTCCAGCTCTTTAGCTTGTGAGTGTTGAGACTCTCTTAGTTGTCCTGAACTCACCTTTTTAATAGGGGATATTTAGAACTTACTGAAAAATAGGGCCAGCATTGCGATGTAGCAGGTCAAGCTGCTGTCTGCAACACTGGCATCCCATAGGGGCACCAGTTGGGGACCTGGTTGCTTCACTTTCAGTCCTGCTCCCTGTTAATGCTTCTGGGAAAGCAGCGGAGGATGGTCCAAATACTGGACCTCTGCACCCACATGGGAGACCCTGAAGAAGCTCCTGGCTCCTGACTGACCTGACTCAGGCCTGGCCATTGCAGCCATTTGGGGAACGAACCAGCAGATGGAAGATTCTCTCCCTCTCTCTCATCTCTGCCTGTTCCTCTCTCTGTGTAACTCTGACTTCCAAAGAAATAAATAAATCTTTAAAAAAAAAAAAAAAATCTTGCTAGCCGGCGCTGTGGCTCAATAGGCTAATCCTCCACCTAGCGGCGCTGGCACACCGGGTTCTAGTCCCAGTTGGGGCGCCGGATTCTGTTCCGGTTGCCCCTCTTCCAGGCCAGCTCTCTGCTGTGGCCAGGGAGTGCAGTGGAGGATGGCCCAAGTACTTAGGCCCTGCACCCCGTGGGAGACCAGGGAAAAGCACCTGGCTCCTGGCTTCGGATCAGCGCAATGTGCCGGCTGCAGCGCGCCGGCCGCGGCGGCCATTGGAGGGTGAACCAACGGCAAAGGAAGACCTTTCTCTCTGTCTCTCTCTCTCACTGTCCACTCTGCCTGTCAAAAAAAAAAAAAAAAAAACAACTTGCTGAAAAAGACTTAGTGGAACTATTATGTTGACAGTATTGAGTTTTGCTGGCTTTTGTTTTCAGTTCCAAAGGTGCCGTTAAAATGAAATAGTGCTCTTAAAGCAACCTTTCTAAAGGTCTATACTGCTATTTTCGTAACAACCCAGCCTGTGATGTTCTAATAAAGTTGACGCTGACCTCTTTGATGCCGACAAGCCTGGCACTGAAGCCTGTGGATGATTTACTGTGACAGCGATTGGGTATTTATTCTGGCCTACTGGGAGAATTCTCTATTTCATTGTATACTTTTTGACCCCAAAAATGTCATTATCGACCCAATAATTAAGGACATAAATCCAAGTTTCATTTTAAAACAACTTTTACTGAGTTTAGATTTGGCAAGAGACATATTTTATAATTCACTCAACTTCATAGTTCATGCTCCAGTAAATCATCACAAAGTAACATAATTCATTGCAGATCCACTGGGATTCCTCTTTCTAAAATGTCACATTCAGAGGCATCCCCAAATTGCAGCGTAATTTTCAGATCCCAGTGAGATATAACTTTGCCTAGTGCAGAGAAGGGGGCGGGGTAAGTGGCAGTGGACAATAAGAACATACAAGGGAAAGATGGTGCCACTGAGACAAGGGAACAAGGAAAATTTCATAAAAAAGTCATCTCTGCACCACTTCCTGATGAAGAGGAGGCTTCTGGCTGGAAGACAGGAGGCCAGAACACTTCCAGTGGAAGGAAAGGCAGGCATAACGAATGTGATTTGGAAAGGGGATGCGTCCCAGGCATGGGAGCAGTAGCCTCAGTGGAGGGGGCAGCAATGGGGCAGACAAATGGGAAAGGGGAACCGGGCCAGACCCTGGCTGACTTCCTCAATGGTCTCGCATGTCCTCTGAGGAGTTCGGCTGGTGTTTTGTAACAGGACTGGAGCTGAACCCAACTAGTGTCTGTTTAAGCAAGACAGCTCTGGTGGTGTTTCCAGGTCTCCCTATTTGAGGGCTGAGAGAGAAGGTTAGGGACAGGCAGATTGGGGGTGGAGCTGGAGGTGGGGGAGGATCAGGCCATAACTCAGGGCAGGGAAAGTGCAAACCTGAAGGTCTGCAGGAGGACAGCAGCCATGGAAATGAAAGCAAGGATCGCAACGACCTCGGCCCCCGCGTGTGACTGCAGCCCGGCTGCTGACGGGATTCTGTGGGAGACAGTTGGGCCGTTCTAGCTCGGAGATTCCAAGGCGGGCTTCTGTGACCCAAGAAGCCCAAGGTTCCAGGGGAGAGCATTTCTTCCCGGCCGTAAGTACAGAGTGCTTCGGATGGGGACTGGGAGGGTTGGGAGGGATTGAAGGGGTACAAATCAGAAAAACATAGAGGAATCTGGGTGTGATTCAATAAGTATGACCAATTTAGTAATATGGGATGTTAAAAATAGAGGAGGCTGGGTGAGGTTTATAGGCTGTGACAAATATATCATGGGAACATAAGATGTTAACCATAGGGGGAGCTGTGTGTGGCTATGCGGGAACTCTGTGCTACTTCACAGTTTTTGTTTTGTAAATTTAAAACTATTCTAAGTAAAAAGGGTATTTTTAAATGAAGTATTTATGTATTTACTTGAAAGGCAGAGTGACAGAGAGAGACAGAGAATGAGAGAGAGAGAGAGAGAGAGAGAGAGAGAGGGAGATCTTCCATTTGCTGATTTATTTCCTGAATGGCTGCAATGACCAGTATTGGGCCATGTCAAAGCCAGAAGCCCATAAGTCAATCTGGGTCTCCCACATGGGTGGCAGGGGCCCAGGTTCTTGGCCTGTCAGTGGTTGCTTTCCCAGGCACATTAGTAGGCAGCTGGATCAGCAGCAGGGTTGCTGGGACTCAAACCAGCTCTCCAACATGCGATGCTGGTATCTCAGGTGGTGGCTTAACCCACTGTACCACACCACCAGCCCCAAGAAATAAAAAGCCTTTTATAAAAAGTGCTACAGAAATATCTATACCTACTAAAGAAGTAAAATCATCTCTCCAACCCCTAGTTATGGGGAATAATTGGGCTTAATGAAGACAAAACTAAGTTTGTTTTTTGATGAGACTCTAGCGCAGGGACCTAATGCTTCTTAGGCTAATCTCCCTGAATAGTTGTTGGCTATTTAAGGTCTAGCCTTGGGCTTTACAGGACAACGGGTTTTACTTTCTGTTCCCTGGGCTCAGAATAAGAATCTAACAGAAAATTCAGAAGTAAAACTATGAAGAAATTAGGGAAAGACAAGAAACCATAATCAGATGTAGAGAAGAGAGCGAATTCTTGAATTAAAATAGAAGATGCTAAAGTGCTGAATGTATTTTCATTGTTTCTCAAGTTCCAAAGTGGGAAATGTTTGAAATATAATTGAAGCAACGTATTGAGAAGGAAGCAAGTAGGAAGTTAGACGTATGGAGATCGCTGACAATCGTGTGCTGGCAGGTATGGTAGAAAGAAGCTTAGCGTGCGAATGGACACTGTGCCTCTGGCAGCGTTTATAATAAGGAACTCCCACACACCTCCACCTGGTACGTGTCTCATTACTTAAGACTTATTTATTTACTAACATTTATATGTCATTTACATTGGCACAGTTAAAATGCATAACAGCCCCCACGAAGCAGCTACTTTTACTGCTTCCACTTTCCAGGTGGACAACACAGAAAGGTTAAGCAGCCAGCCCATGATCACGCAGCTGGTCAGTGGCAAAGCTAAGGGTTCAAATCCAAGCAGATGGACTCCCGGGTCTATGTCGTTAAGCACTGTGCTATGCTGCCTCTTGATCTAGAAGAACCTTGTCAAGATTCTGTCAAAGATTTGTGCATAATAATGAATATAAACTAAAAGTCACAGCAGGCTAAATGCATGCTAACAGTTCATAGCATTTACAGTTGTGCATTTCCTTTGTGGATGATGATTGACTCATTTATTTAAGTTGTTAGATATTAGAATTACAAAAATGAATGAGACAACCAGACACGGTTCCTGCTTCCAGGAACCCATCATTTGGAGGGGGAATAAGGCATGTATACAAAGTGTCTTACTGGAGTGTGACAAGTGATAGATAGCCGTATACTAAGATTTCACATGATCACAGATGTTTGGCATCTAAATCATAAAGTATCTGGGAAAGCTTCCTAACAGAGGTGTGACTTGTGTTGGGTCTAGGATGACCAGGACTTAGGAATGCAAAGAATAGAAGATTGGCTTTGCAGGCAGAGCAAATAGCAAAAGCAAAGCAATAAATAAATACAACACAAGTTGTTCATTATGACTGAGGTATCAAGGGTATATGAGCAAGTGACAAGTAAAATTCAGGATATGGTCAGAGGTCAAACGATGAGCCTCATATGATGAATCAAGGATCTTTTTTTAATAAAAGATTTGTTGATTTATTTGAAAGTCAGAATTACAGAGAGAGAGAGAGGGAGAAAAATAGAGAGAGAGAGAGAGAGAGAGAGAGGGATATGATATCTTCTATCTGCTGGTTCACTCCCCAAATAGACACAGCTGCCAGAGCTGGGCCAGACCGAAGCCAGAAGCCAGGAGCTTCATCTATGTCTCCCTTGTGGGTGCAGGTGGGCCATCCTCCATTGCTTTCCCAGGCACATTAACAGGGAGCTGGATGGGAAGTGGAACAGTCAGGATTCAAATCAGCCTTGCCTATGGGATTGCCATAGTGTTACAGATGGTGCTACCCCTGAATCAAAGATCTTGACATTTGTTCTGAAAGCTGTTGGAAGGGGTTGAAGCTTTAAGCAGGGAGGCGTGTGACTGTATTTTCCTGAAAAAAAAAAAATTCAGACAGATATGAGGAATAGAATAGACAGAATGGAGGATGAAATGGGTTAAATGTATGGATAAACTTTGAAGCTACTGTAATATTCCAGGCAACAAGTTATAGAATCCTAAATTGAAGTAATAGCAATATGAATTGATCAGAAAAGAGCTAAAATATATTTCAGATATAACATGTGTAAGATAATATTTTTGTGTACATGAAGGTGGGAGAGGTGAAAAGGAATTGAGCAAATCCTGAACTTCAGTAATAGATTGCTAATCTTCACCTCCATAAATTCTGACTTATAGGGCAACTGAGAATCTCCATTCCTTAGAGGCTTTCTAGTTTATCCTACAGGTATAATGACGATCAAGACTTGCTGTCCCTCCTAGGAGCATGAGCTACAGACCTAGAGATATTAATGTGACAATAAAGGCTAGAGGAGATTTTCTGTTGGGAGAGGAAGGGTGAGAACAAGCTACTCCTAATCCTGCACTTGGGCTACTCCTAATCCTGCACTTGAGATAATGGGTTGAGCCAAGAATATAGGTTTGGAGCTCAGAAGAGAGATTTTGTTTGGAAATAGGTGGTGGTAGATGAAGCATGGGTTGCAGAGGTCGTCTTGGAAGAGTACATGGAATGATGAGGAAGACGGCTGGACCCTTAGGACTACTGGTGTTTAGGGAGTGAGGTAAGACAGAAGAGAAAGTTGGGGACATGACAAGGGGTCTTTAGAGCAGGAAGATGTGACTGTTTTCACAGGGACCAAGAGAGATAAGAGTTAAAGGGGAGAGTGATCCAATATGGGAAGTGAGATACTCAGCAGACTCATAGAATGGCAGATGTCCTAAATAGCACTCTGGCCTCAGAATCAGCCCTAAAGGCATTCGGATCTGGCTGAAAAGCCCATGAGAGTATTTCAGGCATGGAAAGCCAAGACACTCTGGCAAAAGATCTCTGTGAGTGAGATCCCAGTGGAAAGAACAGGTCATCAAAGAAGGAGGTACCTTTCTCTGAAGGGAGGAGAGAACCTCCACTTTGACTATGACCTTGTCTAAACAAGATAAGAGTCGGAGAACTCAGAGGGCTTCCATAGCCTTGGAAACTCATGACTGGAGCATAGGGAGATTACTGATGCCATAGACAGGAATGTCAATTGGTAAAGTCAACAACAGGAGTCACTGTGCACTTACTCCTCATGTAGGATCTCTGTCCTTAATGTGCTGTGCATTGAGATTTAATGCTATAACGAGTACTCAAACAATATATTTCACTTTGTGTTTCTATGGGGGTGCAAACTGTTGAAATCTTTACTTAATGCATACTAAACTGATCTTCTGTAAAAAAAAAAAAATTATCAATTCCCAACTAGACTCTCACTGGGATTAAACATGACAATAGGTCTGATCTGATTTCATCATCATTTAAAAAAAATCATCTATTATTTTTCACTTTATGTTTCTGTGTCGGAGCAAACTGTTGAAATCCTTACTTAATGTATACTAAGCTGATCTTCTGCATATTAAGATAATCGAAAATGAATCTTGATGTGAATGGAAGGGGAGAGGGAGTGGGAAAGGGGAGGGTTGTGGTTAGGAGGGACGGTATTAGGGGGAAGCCATTGTAATCCATAAGTCGTACTTTAGAAATTTATATTCATTAAATAAAAGTTAAAAAAAAAGAGTTTCCATGGAAATAAATAAATGTTATAAGAATTCAACGAAGAGCAGAAAAGTGTATGGTAACTTATAAGATGGTGACCCTGGTGACCTATGAGAGCAGACTTTGTGAAATTATTCAGAAGGAAACCAAATAATGGTCAACTGGGAAGAGAAAGGATTTAAGAAATTAGAACAGGAGCCGGCGTTGTGGCATAGAGGGTAGAAGCCATTGCCTGTGATCCCAGCATCCCACATGGATTCTGGTTTGTGTCCCCAGATGCTCTGCTTCTGATTCAGCTCCCTGCTGGTGGCCTGGGAAAAGCAAGGGAAGATGGTCCAGGTGCTTGGACTTCTGTCACCCATGTGGGCAATCTGGGTGAAGGTCCTGGCTCCTGGCTTCTGCCTGGCTCAGCCCTGGCTGTGCGGCCATCTGGAGAATGAAACAGTGGGTGCTCTCTCTTCCTTCTTGTGAACAAGCAGCATGTCCTTGTGTAATTACGTATTCCTCAACATGGGGAACCCACTCACTTCCGTATGCTGATGCTTCCAGTTATTTAACTTTCCATCTCTTCCTGAGAAATAGAAATCTTTGTAATAAAAGAAATTGTGGTGAGGACTCTGGGGGCCTTTTTCACTTCCTTAAACTCATTCCATTTAAGGGGAACCCAGAAACTAACATTTCATAGTTGTTGTTAGGATTTACAAGAGGCCTGGTTCCTGGGTCTGCAAGGAAAGTATACAGTATCCAGATACTCTGATATTCTCTCCCCAAATCTCCTGGAGGAGATCCAGAGAGCCTAAGACATTCACATTGTGTTAACTCTTACCCTGCAGCACAACCAAAGGTAATCTAGTTCGTAACAAGATGTACTGTCTGCCCTCACCCCCATGATCCAGAAATTCCTGTGTGTAAGTTCTTTGCCTCATTGGTGCTATGGTGTGGATATGTTTTAAGTATGTTCCCCTAAGGTTCATAGGTTAGAAGCTTGCTCCCCAGTGTGGCAATATGCAAGGTGCTGGAACCTTTAAGGGGTGGGGCCTAGTGGGAAGAAAGTAGATCAGTGGGGTGGTGCCTTTAGAAGGAATTAATGTAGTTCTTGTGGCCATAGGGACTTTGTGGTCTTCAGTTTTTATATCTAAAATGAAAATAAATTATACTAGGTCCTGATGCCTAACGTAGAGCTTCCTGAGCCAAACATTTGTCCTTTGACCTCAGATGAGATGTTCAGTGATATTAATCAACTAGAAAACATTTACAGCTAGGTATTAATTAACTGGAAAATAGTAATAGAGCCTAACCAGCTTAGCTGCTACTCCTTCTGTGTGACTAATTGCCTGCTAAGTACTATATTAACAGCCTTGGATCATTAACCAACTTGATTTAAATGAAATTAAATATATAAATCTGAGGTCTTTGCTTTTACTTTCTTTAAAATTATAGCATGACAAAGAGCAAAGAGATGTAAATCAAGCCATATGTCCCTACCTTAAGTATGAGTCACATCAAATCCTCATATGGTAATCTTTATCATAAATTAAGCAATTCTGTGGCCCACACAAACCTGGCAGTTCTGATCACATGGCTTGCTATTGGAAAAACTTTGGCACACTTGCAATTCTATGATTATTCCAGGATGGCTGCAATTCTGATGTTTGCCTAAAACAGAGATTTAAAGGTGAGTCTCCTCTTAGCTTATGCCTAAATAATTCACTATAAATTTAAATTTGAATTTCTTTGTAATTTTTTTCTCCCTTTTCAATAGGAATTACTGACTGATGATGGCAGAAAAAATCTTGGAAAAGTTAGATGTCCTGGATAAACAAGAAAAGACACTCTTGGACCAAAGAGCAAAGGTTCATAAAGGAAAAGCTAAAGTTTGATTTAATAATTATGAAGTTAATGTTTCAAATAAGAATAATTTCACTTTTTAGAATGATTTATAAATATGAATATGTAGACTGATTTGTTAAAAGCACATAAATAAATAAAAAAGTTAAAAATATTTAAAAAGATTGTATTAGTTGAAAGAGTCATCTGTCTAAATGAAAAATATACAGAATATACAAAATAACTTCTGGATATCTG